AACCCTAACCCTAACCCTAACCCTATGGCGACATATATGTCGACATATTTATTGTTAGCAAAAGAGAAAAGTCCACATATATGTCGACATATATGTCGACATAAGTAGCAACCAAAAAATAAAAGTTATATGGCCCTTTATGTCGACATATATGTCGACATAAGTAGAAACCGAAAAAATAAAAGCTATGGCCCTTTAAGGGCTCCGTATGAAACTGATCCCACAATGCATTGAAAATCAAGTAGTGACGTAAAAGGTTCAGAAGTCTATTTCAGCATATATATTCTATAAAAAGTGTGCAAAAACTGAGCGTGAATAATTAAAATTGAGGCTTCAGTTTTGCGAAGTCTTTGGGATTTTATCGATAATATCGCTGAATATGTGCAGTAAATCTTGGATATCGCCTCAAAACGCAGGAAATGACATATTTCAAAATTTTCTACACGAACAATTTTTATGTGACAATATTTATTTGACGTAGTTGACAATCAAAATTAGTCAGTTTTTGTATCTGGTTTCTGTATTTGTTGTAAAGCTGGCATGCTAGTTTTAATGCTATAATTAAAATTGTCGATGATTGTCCATGTGGACGGCGAACGCCATATAAAATGTAGCACTATTATTGTAACGTTTGGAGATGGCAGAGCCACGTCCTCAGAAGGAACAAGAAAGAATAATGTCAGAAGTCAAAATAAGCTCTACATTGGACTCCAGAGGGAAAAAGGAAAAGAGGGGGGCAACTACCTGACGAGAGAACGTGTATTGACAGAGATGAAAGATATGGGATAAACATGGAAAAAAATGCCCAGAATAGACAGGAATGGAAGAATTTTCTAGTTGCCCTACACACCACTAGACTTAACGGGCAGTAAGTAAGTAATTGTGACGTTTAGTAGATCCCAGTCTCCTGTTGTCTCTCTCTACCATTTGCGCACCCAAGATGGCGATGTGAACAAAAGCTTTGGACAGACAGATCGATAATGTTTCGTTATTATTAGAAAAAGTCTCTGAATAGTCGCAGAAACTTACAAAAACCAAAACATTAATAAAAAGAAATAAAAAGAAAAAGAAAGAATGTGAAAAAATACACGCAGCTCTCGCTCTTCTACGACTTAATCCAACATCTTTAGGCTTCTTGCTTTTAATATTATAAATCATGAATAAAGCTGCTATCGCTGCAGTCTCTGACTCAAAATTTAGAGAAAATTTTCTTCTATCGAGATGAAGGTGTTTA